GAGTTCGAGACCAGCCTGGCCAACGTGGTGAAACCTCATCTCTACTAAAAATATAAAAATTAGCTGGTGTGGGCCGGGCGCGGTGGCTCAAGCCTGTAATCCCAGCACTTTGGGAGGCCGAGACGGGCAGATCACAAGGTCAGGAGATCGAGACCAGCCTGGCTAACACGGTGAAACCCCATCTCTACTAAAAAAATACAATAAACTAGCCGGGCGAGGTGGTGGGCGCCTGTAGTCCCAGCTACTCGGGAGGCTGAGGCAGGAGAATGGCGTAGACCCGGGAGGCGGAGCTTGCAGTGAGCTGAGATCCGGCCACTGCACTCCAGCCTGGGCGACAGAGCAAGACTCCGTCTCAAAAAAAAAAAAAAAAAAAAATTAGCTGGCGTGGCAGCACGTGCCTGTAATCCTAGCTACTCCAGAAGCTGAGGCAGGAGAATCACTTGAACCTGGGAGGCGGAGGTTGTGGAGAGCCGAGATCATACCACTGCACTCCAGCCTGGGTGACAGAGTGAGACTCCATCTCAAAAAAAAAAGAAAAAAGAAAAAAAATCCCTGTAAAACATACCATACCTGTACAATTCAGTAATCATCCTCCTCGGTATTTAACAAAATGAGTAAACTCACACCTGGATGTTTATAGCAGCTTTATTATTAATTGCCAAAACTTGGAAGCAAGGGAGATGCTGAATGTCATCTACTGAACGGTAGGTGACTGGATAAACAAACTGATCCATCCAGCAAACTATTATAAAGCCATAAAAAGATATGAAATATTCCTAGCTGGGTGCAGTGGTTTACACCTGTAATCCCAGCACTTTGGGAGGCTGAGGTGAGTGGATCACGAGGTCAGGAGTTCAAGACCAACCCTTCAAGATGGTGAAACCCCATCTGTACTAAAAATACAAAAATTAACTGGGTGTGGTGGCCAGTGCCTGTAATCCTAGCTACTCGGGACGTTGAGGAAGAGAACCCAGGAGGCAGAGATTGGAGTGAGCCAAGATCATGCCACTGCACTCCAGCCTGAGCAACAGAACGAGACTCCATGTCAAAAAAAAAAAAAAAAAAAAAAAAAAAAATCAAAGAAGGATTCCTAAATGCATGATTTTATTGTACAAGTGAAAGAAGGCAATGTGAAAAGACTCATCCTGTTAGATGTTCCAGAAAAGGCTTTTGCCTTTTTCTATAGAGACGGTAGAAAGTCCAGTGGTTGCCATGGGCTGGGAGCACAGTGGGATGAATGAGAAGAGGACAGAGAACTTTTAGGGAAACAAAACTACTCTGCGTGATGCTCTAATGGTGGATACATGCCATTATCCCTTTGTTAAAATCCATAGAATGTAAAAACCAGCAATGATCCGTCATGTAAACTGTGGACATTGGGTGATAGTGATGTGTCCATGTGGCTCATCGATTGTGACGAATGCTCTGCGCTGGTGCGGATGTTGATCCTGTGGGGATGCTCTATATTGAAGGGGGAAGAGGGTAGATGAGAACTTTCTGTTTAGTTTTTCTGTGAACCTAAAACTGCTATTAAAAAAATAGGCTGGGTGTGGTGGCTCACGCCTGAAATCCCATCAATTTAGGAGGTCGAGGCGGGTAGATCACTTGAGGTCAGGAGTTTGAGACCAGCCTGGCTAACATGGTGAAACCCCATCTCTACTAAAAATACAAAAAATTAGCCGGGCATTGTGGTGGGTGCCTCTAATCCAAGCTACTCTGGGGCTGAGGCAGGAGAATTGCTTGAACCCGGGAGGCGGAGGTTGCAGTGAGCAGAGAGCACCATTGCCTCCAGCCTGGGCAACAAGCGTGAAACTCCATCTCAAAGTAATAAATAAATAAAAATAAATAAATGATAATAATAGGCCGGGCGCGGTGGTTCATGCCTGTAGTTCTAGCACTTTGGGAGGCCGAGGTGGGTGGATCACCTGAGGTCCAGAGTTCAAGACCAGCCAGACCAACATGGCAAAGCCCTGTCTCTACTAAAAATAAAAATAATAATACAAAACCTAGCCAGGCGTGGTGGTGCATGCCTGTAATCCCAACTACTTGGGAGGCTGAGGCAGTAGAATCGTTTGAACCCTGGAGGAGGAGGTTGCAGTGAGCCGAGATCGTGCCACTGTGCTCCAGCCTGGGCGACAGAGTGAGACTCGTTCTCATAAATAAATAAATAAATAAATAAAATCTGAAGTCTGGGCACGGTGGCTCATACCTGTAATCCCAGCACTTTGGGATCGCTTGAGCCCAGAAGTTCAAGACCAGCCTGGGCAACATGGTGAAACCTGGTCTCTACTAAAAATACAAAAATAAGCCAGGCATGATGGTGCATGCTTCTTGTTCCAGCTACTAGGTGGGCTGAGGCAGGAAGATTACCTGATCTTTGGGAGGTCAAGGCTGTAATGAGCCGTGATCATGCCACTGCACTTCAGCCTGGATGACACAGTGAGTCCCGGTCTCAAAACAAAATAAAATAAACTCAATATTTTAGAAAACCTGTAATGCTTCTTTCCAGTGCTAAAATTGTATTATTCTAAGTATATTTTAAAGAATAAACGATTATTGTTCAGTGTCTTTAAAATTAGTTTTAAAAATCTCTTTCGTTTTGAGAATCCAAACTAAGGTAACCATTTTTTTATTCTTTTTTTTTTTTGAGATGGAGTTTCGCTCTTGTTGCCCAGGCTAGAGTGCAATGGCGTGATCTCAGCTCACTGCAACCTCCGCCTCCCAGGTTCAAGTGATTCTCCTGCCTCAGTCTCCCGAGTAGCTGGGATTAGAGGCATGTGCCACCACGCCCGGCTAATTTTTGTATTTTTAGTAGAGACAGGGTTTCTCCATGTTGCGAGACTGGTCTCGAACTCCTGACCTCAGGTGATCCGCCTGCCTCCTAAAGTGCTGGGATTTCAGGCATGAGCCACTGCGCCCAGACTGTTTTTCTCCCCCGAGATGGAGTCTTGCTCTGTTGCCAAGGCTGGAGTACAGTGGCATGATCTTGGCTCACTGCAACCTCTGCCTCCTGGGTTCAAGCGATTGTCCTGCCTCAGCCTCCTGAGTACTTGGGATTACAGGTGTGTGCCACCACGCCTAGCTAATTTTTTGTATTTTTAGTAGAGATGGGGTTTCACCATTTTGGCCAGGCTGGTCTTGAACTCCTGACCTGGTGATCCACCCACCTTGGCCTCCCAAAGTGCTGGGATTACAGGCGTGAGCCACGGCGCCCGGTCGTTAACCATTCTTAAAATATTACATTGCATTCTTTAGAAGTTCTATGTCTTTAATATACATAAATGATCACACAAATATTTATACTCAAATAGTATTTACATAATAGTAAAATTTTTAAAATACCATAAAATATAATCCTTGCAACCCTAAATTACACCATCTGGTCTGATCTACCAGCAGATGGCAGTCGAGACCCACGGATTGGAAATTTTGCTCTTACAATCACTAGAAATGAATCAAGTCCTGCACTGCCCACCCTGCCGCCTGCTGGCTCCTGCGGCTCTGCTGTTTGGAGGAATCATGATGAAATTGTGGTGGCGTCTACAACCTGAGCCCCACCGCATGCCCTGGGTTCTTGTTGCCTCCCTGTTACCAGGAATCAGAGGTGAGAAGGAAAGGTGAAAAATGCGGCTGGGAGCGGTGGCTCATGCCTGTAATCCCAGCACTCTGGGAGGCCTAGCGGGGCGGATCACAAGATCAGGAAATTGAGACCATCCTGGCCAACATGGTGAAGCTCCGTCTCTACTAAAAATACAAATACTAGCCGGGCGTGGTGGCGTGCGCCTCTAGTCCCAGCTGCTCGGGAGCATTGGGCAGGAGAATGGCTTGAACCCAAGAGGCAGAGGTTGCGCCACCGCACTCCAGCCTGGTGAAGAGCGAGGCTCTGTCTTTAAAAAAAAAAAAAGAAAAAAGAAAAGAAAAATGAAAAATGCTGGGACTTCTGCTGAGAAAAGAGAACAAGATGTATTGATCTTATGCCAGGCCCCATGCCAAGCCCTAAACATGAACCATCTTATTGGATCCTACCAGGGTCCCATAAACTGTTGGACATCATCATCCTCATTTTACAGGGAACCTGAGGCTCTTCAGGGAAGGTCACTCATCACCCACAGGCACTTGATCGTTCTCCATCCTTGGATGATGTGCGATTCCAAAACATGCTGCACCAGTCTCTTCCTTGATGGGGAGAGAGGGGAGGTGTTGTGAGAAAATCTCTCATTGATCCGGCCATAGCTCCCCAAAAAGATGAAACTTTTTAAATGTCAGATGGAAATATTTAAAAAGTGTTTGATGCCTGTATAGTTTTAGTGTTTTGCTTAAAGGGAGTGTGGCTGTCTTTACTGGCTACAACCAGTTTAATTCAAGAAGGGCTGCTAGTCATCAGGGAACAAGTCAAGTGTTGGTGCCTCCCAGAGGCTCTTCCTTGATAGGGCTCTAGAGGGGGGCCATTATGAGAAAATCTCTCATCGATCTGACCCAGCTCCCCAAAAAGATGTAACTGGTTTTTTTTTTTTTTTTTTGAGACAGATTATTTGTATTTATTTATTTTTTTCTTTTTTTCGAGACGGAGTCTCACTCAGTCGCCCAGACTGGAGTGTAGTGGTGCGATCTCAGATCACTGCAAGCTCCGCCTCCTGGGTTCACGCCATTCTCCTGCCTCAGCCTCCTGGGTAGCTGGGACTACAGGCGCCCGCCACCACGCCCGGCTAATTTTTTTTATTTTTATTAGAGATGGGGTTTCACCGTGTTAGCCAGGATGGTCTCGTTCTCCTGACCTCGTGATCCGCCCGCCTTGGCCTCCCAAAGTGCTAGGATTACAGGCGTGAGCCACCGCGCCCGGCCTGTATTTATTTTTTTGAGACAAAGTCTCGCTCTGTCATCAGACTGGAGTGCAGTGGCACGATCTCGGCTCACTGCACCCTCTGCCTCCCGGGTTCAAGTGATTCTCCTGCCTCAGCCTCCTAAGTAGCTGGGACTACAGGCGTGCACCACCACGCCCAGCTAATGTTTGTATTTTTAGTAGAGACGGGGTTTCACCATGTTGGTCAGGAAGGTCTCCACCTCTTGACCTCGTGAGCCACCCATCTCAGCCTCCTGAAGTGCTAGGATTACAGGCATGAGCCACCGTGCCCAGCCTAGATGAAACTTTTAAAATGTGGCATTGAAATATTTAAGAAGCATTACTGTGGGTGCATCTGAGGCAAGAGAATCACTTGAACTCAGGAGGCAGAGGTTGCAGTGAGTGGGGATCGTGTCACTGAACTCCAGCCTGCGTGCAGAAAGGCCTAGGTTTTAGTTTTCAGGTGTCCAGAAAAATGAGTTGGATATATCTACCCAAATAGGCAGGTATTCAACAGCAGCACTGATCTAACTCCAGGTCATAAAATGACCTGTTGCCACAGCGAGAGCAGTAGTCAGTACAGAACAAGATCCTCTTGGGCTCCCTTAAATCCCTCACTCTCCCCATCAGCTCAGCCCCAAGTTGGGCAAATCTGCTCCGGCAGAGAGTACCACCAGCATCATAACTCTCCCGCGGGGCAGGATACAGCTCCAGGCATAAATTGTCCAATCTGATTGTGTGGCACAGCAGGTTCTCTAGGGTGGCCATGGAGACGGGATTTCCACGGAAGCTGAAGGTGGTAAGCTCAAAGCAGCGGCTCAGGGCAGGCAGGATGGTGTTGACTTGGGAGTCTACGATGCCACAGTCATCTAAGTCCAGGTACTCAAGGGTGCCTGCAACTTTTTCTAGCAGAACTTGGAGAGGCACAAGGCTGAAATTGGCCAGTCTGATGCCAGTCAGGTCCAGGGTCTTTAGTTGACCGATGCTCGGGCACTTGGACAGATGCCTCAAGTCTGATTCCAAAAGCACACAGTTAGTTATTGCGAGGATCTTTAATGAGGTCTTCAGACAGCTGGGGAGAGAGAGCAAGAAGTTAGTTCTGGGGAATTGTAGGGGTGAGTTGAGGGTGGTGGGGAATGTCAAGGTGAAGGACGAAGACCATTTTGCCCAAGCCCAGGGTCATTCTGATTGTCTGGTCAACACTTAGGATGCTGCGTGATGAAGAGCTTTGCCACTGAGATCAATTCCATTTTAGGCCCAGCACAGTAACTCACACCTGTAATCCCAGAACTTTGGGAGGCTGAGACAGGCGGATCACTGGAGGTCAGGAGTTTGAGACCAGCCTGGCCAACATGGCAAAACCCTGTCTCTACTAAAAATGCAAAAAGTAACTGGGCATAGTGGCGGACACCTGTAATTCCAGCTATTTGGGAGGGTAAGGCAGGAGAATCGCTTGAACCCAGGAGGTGGAGGTTGCAGTGAGCAGAGATCATGCCACTGCACTCCAGCCTGAGTGACAGAGTGAGACTCTGTCTCAAAAGAAAAAGAAATAAAAATTCCATTTCAGGCTGAGTCTTTTCACCATCATTTATAGGAATGGATCAAGTTCACAGAATCCCTAAAGCTCCCTTTCCTCATCTGTCAGGCAGAAAAACACATTATGTGGGCTACAGGAGCCCAGTGGAGACGCAGGCATCAGGACAAATCCAGGCAGGATCCTGCAACATCAGCTGGGGTGGGCAGGCTGCAGGAGTCCCTGACATGCCTGTATCATCAGCAAACCATCTATCTCTTTCATCATTCTTTGTGCCTGCTCCCTGACCCTCTGTTTCAGAATCATGCATTTCTCAGGTAATTAATTTACCTGGAACTCAAAACAACCATTAGGACAGGGAATTAGAGATGGGTAATTCATGTTCACCAAGCTGTTGAGCACAGAGCTTATATTCTGAGACGTGCAGGTTTGCTGAGCATTCCCCTCTTCAGTGCCCACTTCACTTCCCCACTTCCCATCATCTTCTTAACAATTATCTTGTTTTTTGGCCAGGCGCGGTGGCTCAAGCCTGTAATCCCAGCACTTTGGGAGGCCGAGACGGGCGGATCACAAGGTCAGGAGATCAAGACCATCCTGGCGAACACAGTGAAACCCTGTCTCTACTAAAAAATACAAAAAACTAGCCGGGCGAGGTGACGGGCACCTGTAGTCCCAGCTACTTGGGAGGCTGAGGCAGGAGAATGGCGTAAACCCAGGAGGCGGAGCTTGCAGTGAGCTGAGATCCAGCCACAGCACTCCAGCCTGGGCGATAGAGCAAGACTCCGTCTCAAAAAAACCCAAAAAAACAAAAAAACAATTATCTTGTTTTTGGGTCGGGTGTGGTGGCTCACGCCTGTAATCCTGACACTTTGGGAGGCTGAAGTGGGTGGATCACCTGAGGTCAGGAATTTGAGACCAGCCTGGCCGATATGGTGAAACCCTGCCTCTCCCAAAAATAATTAACCAGGTGTGGTGACCCACACCTGTAATCCCAGCTACTCAGGAGGCTGAGGCAGGAGAATTGCTTGAACCCGGGAGGCGGAGGTTGCAGCAAGCCGAGATGACACCACTGCACTCCAGCCTGGGTGATAAAAGTGAAATTTCATCTCAGAAAAAGCAAAATTATCTGTTTATATTTTTTATTTATTCTTTTATTAGCAGGGGTCTTTGCTATGTTACCCAGACTGGTCTTAAACTCCTGGGCTCAAATTATCCTCTTGCCTCAGATTCCCAAAGTGTTAGGATTACAGGCATGAGCCAGCATCCCTGGCCTATTTCTCATCATCTTAACTTAGACACACATCCTCAGGAAGAATTCACAAATGCACCCTCACTAAATCTGAACCCTCCAGTAGCTAGTTTCCTAGCATGGCAGCCTCTCTATAGTATCTACCCCAGCTGATTCCTCTGTCTTCATTGGGATGAATGTGTGATACCCATTTCAGGACAGAGCTTCCAACAGGGAAATGCACTGACATTCTAGTGTCCCCTTTACTGTTACATCCTCATAGGCTGGCTCACAGTAGATGCCCACTGTAACAAGAAAGGCTCTGCTGTGGTCAGCAGAGAAAGCTCACCACCCTTCCTCACCTGAGCAGCTGGTCCAGGTGGCCTTCAAGGAAAGAAACAGAGTTCATATAAAGCTTTTGGAGGTAGCACAGCTTGAGGAACTGAGAGGTGAACTGGGTAACAAACTCCTTCTTCTTCTCTGGGGAAATATAGTGAGAGACGTTCACATCAGAGAGAATGAGCCTGTGAAGATTCCTCATCTGGCCCAGGTAAGGGGTAAACTCTGCCAGGACGGGTAGTGTCCAATTGCAATTCACTTCCACCTCCTGGATACAGTCTACGTTGACTATTTTCAGGATGTTTCTGATATTGTGGAAGGGCATTCCCAACATTTTCAGCTTCTTACAGCACAGGTGTAGTAAACCTTCCCTCTGCTTGACCCATAGAAAGAGGCAGGTGAGGCATTCATCCAGAGTCCTGTTCTTGAGGCAAAGGTCTATGAACACTGTCAAGGGCTGCTGTCCTCTCATCCTTGGACAGTGCTGCACTGGTTTTCTGTTCCACATATCATTTGGTAAGCACCCACTGGCCATGACTTCAGACCAAACCATCCAGAAGTTCTCACTGACATCCTGTAAATCCAGCACTTGAAGTTTCCACCTCCTGTGGAAAAATAGAAGAGAAGCTAAGAATGTAAGGACTCACTTCTGAACTTATACTTCACATCCTGGATATCAGCTCCTCTCCTCCTCCTCCCTGCTTCTTCTCCCTCTCTCTGACTTTTCTCCACACTGGTTTACCCTTGAATCCTGCCCAGTTCCACTGTTTTTTGTTTTGTTTTGTTTTTTTGATATAAAGTCTTCCTCTGTGGCCCAGGCTGGAGTGCAGTGGTGCAATCTCAGCTCACTGCAACCTCCAGCTCCTGGGTTCAAGCAATTCTCCTGCCTCAACCTCCCAAGTAGCTGGGATTACAGGTGTCTGCCACCATGCCCAGCTAATTTTTGTATTTTTAACTCATTCGGGGTTTCACCATGTTGAGAGGTGAGGCCAGTTGGACTTCCTGGGTCGAGTGGGTACTTGGGGAACTTTCCTGTCTTACATGAGGATTGTAAAATGCACCAATCAGCGCTCTATAAAATGCATCAATCAGCAGGATTCTGAAAGTAGCCAATAGTGGAGAGTATTGAAAAAAGGGCAATCTGATAGGACAGAAATGGAACATGGGAGAGGACAATAAGGGAATAAAAGCTGGCCACTCCAGCCAGCAGCGACAGTCCACTTGGGTTCCCTTCCAGGCTGTGGAGACTTTGTCTTTATGCTCTTCACAATAAACCTTGCTACCGCTTATTCTTTGGATCTGTGCCATTTTTAAGAGCTGTAACAATCACTGCAAGGTCTGCGGCTTCATTCTTGAAGTCAGTGAGACCACAAACCCACCGGCAGGAACCAACTTTGGACAAATCTTGGGGGCTCGTCCGGGATCTCACCACATGATGAGTACCATCAGACCCCTTTCACTTGCTATTCTGTCCTATTTTTCCTTAGAATTCGGGGGCTAATTACTGGGCACCTATCAGCCGGGTAAAAGCGACTAGCGCAGCTGCTGGACTAAAGACATGGGTGTCAGGCTTTCTGGGAAAGGGCCCGCTAACACCCCCGAGTCTTTGGAGTTGGGAGCATTGGTTTGCCTGAAACCAGCTTCTACTTTTCCTGCGTTTCTGGGCTGAGCCGAGGGTCAACAGAGAGGAAAGCCATTCAGCTCCGGGGTCCCAACAAAAAAGTTGGTTAACTCTGAAGCCATGAGTGGAGCTCTCAAAGTTACGCTGCCCAAGTGAGACTTGCCCATCTATCCTATCTATCCTGACCCTTGCCTCCTGGGTCCTAGTGCCTGTCAGACACACTTCCTCCCACTTCTTTTTCCGAGGCTAGTCCTGCATCTAGAAACCACTTCCTGTCCCTGGTGCTCTTCTAGTTTCTTCTATAAGGATTATTTCTAATATAAATTTCGGGACACTGTTCCCTTCTTTAGGCACCTAGGCTCACCAATCAGAAAGACAATTTTTGCCCACAGCCCTGTTGTGAGGGGGACAATCTGGAATTTTAGGATCCCTCCTCAGACTAGCAGGTCTAACAAAGGCTATTCCTGAAGCTAGGATATGGGGAGCCTCAGAAATTATAGACTCCAAAATTGAGGGGGATAGCCTTCCTAGTCATATGATGAGAAGTGAGGACAAAAGGCATCACTCTTCCAACCCTGGAGATCCCTTCCCTCCCTCAGGGTATGGTCCTCCACTTGAGAAATATCATCTTTATAAGACAAGGGTAGGGTCCCAATATCAACAGGAGAAAAAGCTTAGGACTAATTAGCAGGTTTTCAAGAATGCATTGGTAAGGGCCACTAAATCTGACCTTTCTTGGTCCTCTTTGTCGTCTAAGAGGAATGGCAAGGGTGCAGGTTTTTGAGAATGTGTTGGTAAAGGCCACTAAATCCAACCTTCCTCAGTCCTTTTTATGGTCAGGAGGAAAACAGGTGTTTCCGCTGCTGCTTCGGTGAGTACAACTATTCTGAACAGCAGGGTTCAGGGACCATTGTGGGTTCTTGGGTGGGGGAAAAAATAGACCAAAATCGCAGGTGGTTTTTTTCTGTTTTAGATAGGAAACACTCAGGCATCAACAAGCTCACCCTTGAAATACATTCTAAGCCATTGGGACCAATTTGACCCACAAACCCTGAAAAAGAAGCAGCTTATTTTTTTCTGCACTACAGCCTGGCCCCATTATTATCTCTCTGAGAGGGAAAAATGGCCACCTGAGGGAAGTATAAATTACAATACTATCCTGCAGCTTGACCTTTCCTGCAAGAGGGAAAGCAAATGGAGTGAAATACCTTATGTCCAAGCTTTCTTTTCATTGAAGGATAATCCACAACTATGCAAAGCTTGCAATCTACATTCCACAGGAGGACCTCTCAGCTTACACCCATATCCTAGCCTCCCTACAGCTCTCCTTCCTATTAATGATGAGCCTCCTCTAATCTCCGCCACCCAGAAGGAAACAAGAAAAGAAGTCTCCAAGGGACCACAATCTCCCATCCCAGGCTATCGGTTATGACCCCTTCAAGCTGTAAGGAGAGGGGAATTTGGCAATTCAGGTACATGTCCCCTTCTCTCTCTCTGATTTAAAGCAGATCAAGGTAGACCTGGGGAAGTTTTCAGATGATCCTTATAGGTATATAGATGTCCTACAGGGTCCAGGGCAAACCTTTGACTTCACTTGGAGAGATATCATGCTATTGTTAGATCAAACCCTGGCCTTAAATGAAAAAAATGTGGCTTTAGCTGCAGCCTGAGAGTTTGGAGATACCTGGTATCCTAGTCAAGTAAATAATAGAATGACAGTTGAAGAAAGGGACAAATTCTCTACTGGTTAGCAAGCCATCCCCAGTATGGATCCCCACTGGGACCTCAACTCAGATCATGGGGACTGGAGTCGCAAACATCTGTTGACCTGTGTTTTAGAAGGACTAAGGAGAAATGGGAAAAACCCCATAAATTATTCAATGATGTCCACCATAACTCAGGGAAAGGAAGAAAATCCTACTGCCTTCCTCAAGCACCTATGGGAGGCCTTAAGAAAATATACTCCTTTGTCACCTGACTCCCTCAAGGGTCAATTGATCCTAAGTTTATTACCTAATCAGCTGCAGATATCAGGAAAAAACTCCAAATGTTAGCCTGGGGCCCTGGACAAAATTTCGAGGCTTTATTCAACCTGGCAACCTTGGTGTTCTATAATAGGGACCAAGAGGTACAGTTCAAAAAGGAAAAACAAGATAAGAGAAAGGCCACAGCCTTAGTCATGGTCCTCAGACAAACAACCCTTGGTGGTTCAGAGAGGACAGAAAATGGAGCAGACCAATCATCTGGTAAGGCTTTTTTATCAGTGTGGTTTGCCAGGACATTTGTCCAATGAGAAACAAGATACCCCCTCACCTATGTCCACTATGCCAAGGCAATCACTGAAAGGCAAACTGCCCCAGAGGACAAAGGTTCTCTGGGCCAGAAGCCCCCAACCAGATAATCCAACAACAGGATTGAGGGCACCTGGGGCAAGCGCCAGCTCATATCATCACCCTCACTGAGCCCTGGGTAAGTTTAACCTTTGAAGGCCAGGAAATTGACTTCCTCCTGGACACTGGCACAGCTTTCTCAGTGTTAATCTCCTGCCCTAGATGGCTGTCCTCAGGGTCCATTACCATCCGAGGAATCCTGGGACAGCCTGTAACCAGGTGTTTCTCCCGCCTCCTCAGTTGTAATTGGGAGACTTTGCTCTTTTCACATGCCTTTCTTGTTATGCCTGAAAGTCCCACACCCTTATTAGGGAGGGACATATTAGCCAAAGCTAGAGCTATTATCTATATGAATATGGGGAACAAGTTAGCCATTTGTTGTCCTCAACCCTGGCTTGAGGAGGGAATCAACCCTGAAGTCTGGGCATTGGAAGGACAATTTGGAAGGGTAAAAAATGCCCGCCTAGTCCAAATCAGGCTAAAAGAACCCAACACTTTTCCTTATCAAAGGCAATATCCCTTAAGGCCTGAAGCTCGTAAAGGATTGCAGGATATTGTTAGACATTTAAAAATTCAAGTCTTAGTAAGAAAATGCAGCAGTCCCTGCAACACCCCAATTCTAGGCGTGCAAAAACCAAATGTTCAGTGGAGACCTAGTGCCATCAATAAGACAGTAATTCCTCTATATACTCATCTAGTAGGATGGCAACCAGAGGCAGAAACAGCCTTCAAAACCTTAAAGCAGGCCCTAGTACAAGCTCTAGCCTTAAGCCTTCCCACAGGACAAAACTTCTCTGTATATGTCACATACAGAGTGGGAATAGCTCTTGGAGTCCTTACTCAGACTGTGGGAGAACCCCACAACCAGCGGCATGCCTAAGTAAGGAAACTGATGTAGCAGCAAAAGGCTGGCCTCACAGTTTACGGGTAATTGCGGCAGTGGCCATCTTAGTATCAGAGGCTATCAAAATAATACAAGGAAAGGATCTCACTGGACTACTTATGATGTAAATGGCATACTAGGTGCCAAAGGAAATTTATGGCTATCAGGCAACCACCTGCTTAGATACCAGGTGCTATTCTTTGAGGGAATGGTGCTTCAAATATGCACATAGTGACCCTCAACCTGGCTACTTTTCTCCCACAGGATGGGGAACCAATTGAGCCTGACTGCAAACAAATTGTAGCCCAGACTTATGCCGCCTGAGAGGATCTCTTAGAAATCCCCTTAGCCAATCCTGACCTTAACCCATAAACCGATGAAAACTCATTTGTGGGGAATGGCATACGAAGGGCAGGTTATGCCATGGTTAGTGACGTAACAGTACTTGAAAGTAAGCCTCTTCCCCCAGGGACCAGCCCCCAGTTAGCAGAACTATTAGCACTTACCCGAGTGTTAGAAATGGGAAAGGAAAAAATAATAAATGTGTATACAGATAGCAAGTATGCTTATCTAATCATACATGCCCATGCGGCAATATGGAAAGAAATGGAGTGCCTAACCTCTGGGGGAACCCCCATTAAATAACACAAGGAAATCATGGAGTTATTGCACACAGTGCAAAAACCCAAGGAGGTGGCAGTCTTACACTGCTGAAACCATCACAAAGGTAAAGAGAAAAGCCAGAAGGAGACTGTCAGGCAGACACTGAGGCCAAAATTGCTGCCAGGCAGAACCTCCCATTAGAAATTCCTGTGGAAGGACACTTGGTATGGAACAACCCTCTCCAAGAGATTAAGCCCCAGTATTTCCCGACAGAAACAGAATGGGGACTTTCATGGGGGCATAGTTTTCTCCTCCCGGGGTGGTCAACGACAGAAGAGGGAAAGGTACTCATACCCGAAGCCAGCCAGTGGTAAATACTTAAGACCCTCCAGTAAACTTTTCATATGGGTATTGAGAGCACTCATCAAATGGCCAAATCCCTATTTACAGGGCAAAAATCTCCTCCTGACCATCTGACAAGTAGTCAAAGCCTATGAGGTGTGCCAAAGGAATAATCCCTTGGTTCATCGTAAGGCCTCTCTGGGGGAACAAAGAATAGGGCACTATCCCAGAGAGGACTGGCAGTTAGACTGGTTTAACAGAGAGTGGGTTAAGTTGAGAGTCTTGTAGAGGTATATAAGTTTTCAATTATTATTGTTAGACTTCACGCATATGCCTAAGTCAAGGGGATTTCAATACTTGTTGGTCTGTGTTGATACCTCTACAAATTGGAGAGAAGCCTTCTCCTGCAAGACAGAGAAGGCTCAGGAAGTGGTTAAAGTCCTAATTCATGAAATAATTCCTAGATTTGGGCTTCCCCAAAGTGACAATGATCTGGCTTTTAAAGCCATAATACCTCAGGGAATTTCCAGGGCCCTAGGGATACAATATCACCTTTACTGCACCTGGAGGCCACAATCCTCAGGGAAGGTTGGGAAGGCAAAAGAAACACTCAAGAGACACTTAAGGAAACTAACACAAGAAACTCATCTCCCATGGCCTACTCTCTTGCCCACTGCCTTGTTGAGAATCCAAAATTCTCCTCACAAAATGGGGCTTGGTCCATATGAAATACTGTATGGACAACATTTTCTCACAAATGACTTCCTACTTGATCAGGAAATGGCCAACCTGGTCAAGGATATAACTTCCTTGACAAAATATCAACAAAACCTTAAAAACCTACCTGATGGATGTCACAGAGACAAGGGAATAGAGTTGTTCCAACCGGGAGATCTAGTGTTGGACAAGTCCCTCCCCTCTACCTCCCCATCTATGAATTCCTTGTGGGAAAGACCATACTTGGTAATTATTTCTACCCCTACTTCAGTCAAGGTGGCAGGAGTGGAATATTGCATTCACCACAGCCAAGTTAAACTTTGGACACCCCCTGAAGAACCTATGGGACCCTCAGCTCAGGAGTCCCAAGATCAGCCAGATCAGCCTCAATACAACTGTGAACCACTGGAGGACTTGTGTCTCCTATTTTGGAAGGAAACATCCCAGACTAAAAAGGCTCCTACAACTGATCCTGAGGAAAAACCCCTTCCTCCTTAAAAAGATAAGTGAAGGCCAGGCGCGGTGGCTCCCGCGTGTAATCCCAGCACTTTGGGAGGCGGAGGAGAGCGGATCACGAGGTCAGGCGATCAAGACCATCCTGGCTAACGCGGTGAAACCCTGTCTCTACTAAATATACAAAAAATTAGCTGGATTTGGTGGTGGGTGCCTGTAGTCCTAGCTACTTGGAAGGCTGAGGCAGGAGAATGGTGTGAACCCGGGAGATGGAGCTTGCAGTGAGCCGAGATCGCACCACTGCACTCTAGCCTGGGCAACATAGAGAGACTCCGTCTCAAAAAAAAAAAAAAAAAAAAGATAATAATTGAAAACTTATATACCTCTACAAGACTCTCAACCCACTTTCTGTTAAACCAGTCCAATCCTTCCCCGGCAAATGACTGTTGGCTTTGTATCTCTCTATCAGCCACTGCTTTGTTGATGCTCCCATTACCGCAAAAAACTGGGTCTTTACTAACTTAACTTACCACCCCCGTTATGAAGGAAAAGACCCTCTCCAACTTCTAAATATGCAATCATTAGCCGACTTCCCCATCTCTGATGGGACCAAAAATACCCTAACAGGATGCACAATCCAGTTTTTATGCTCTTACATTTCCAACCTCACCTGTTACATGAGCAATGAAAAATCCATATGCGGCCCTGTAACCATGAATACCATCTTAACTTTCCAAGTCCCTTTATCCATCCAACCCAATCTGTTATCAGGCCTGCCCCTGGGGCATACCACCCCATCAGAGTAATTACACCCTACAGCTTCAAGTCCCCATTGATCATAGTGACTTCCGAGTCACCCAAACAGCTCCATTCAGATGGCTTGTCTGCTTCTCAGGGACCCCAAAAGCCATCACCTCCTCCCTGCTTAACAAACAGTCCGGGTTGGGTAATGGCAAACATACTCCCTGCATGACCATTCACCCCTAGACCCCCCTGCAGCAATGCCCCCACCACTAGTGAATGCCTTCTCATCCCCTCTTTCAATTACTTTCTTGAATGCTTCCTAGTAGATACAAAATTTTTATTCTCCAATGAGAAAATAGAACACAGGGAGCCACTCAGTTTGCTCCCAACGCCCCTTTCCAGCCGCTCACAGGAGCTACCTTGGCAAGTACTCTAGGAGTATGGGAAACTGAAAACAACAAACGTACACAACCAGTTCTGCCTACCCAGCCAAGGCATATTCTATAAGAATATGGAATTTCAACCTATATCTGCCTCCTCACTAACTGGACAGGCACCTGCACCTTAGTCTTCCTAAGTCCCAACATTGACATTGCCCCAGGAAATCAGACCCCATCAGTGCCCCTCAAAGCTCAAGTCTGTCAGTACAGGGCCATACAACTAATAACCCTACTTATAGGGTTAGGAATGGCCACAGCTACAGGAACCAGAATAGCTAGTTTATCTAAATCATTATCCTACTACCACACTCAAAGGATTTCTCAGGCAGTTTGCAAGAAATAACAAAATCTATCCTTACTCTACAATCCCAAATAGACCCTTTGGCAGCAGTGACTCTCCAAAACCGCCAAGGCCTAGGCCTCCTCATTGCTAAGAAAGGAGGACTCTGCACCTTCTTAGGAGAAGAGTGTTGTTTTTACACTAACCAGTCAGGGATAGTATGAGATGCTGCCCGGTGTTTACAGGAAAAGGCTTCTGAAATCAGACAACGCCTTTCAAACTCTTATTATACCAACCTCTGGAGTTGGGTGACCTGGCTTCTCCCCTTTCTACATCCAGTGACACCCATCTTGTTATTACTCGCCTTCGGGCCCTGTATTTTCAACCTCCTTGTCAAATTTGTTTCCTCCAGGATCAAGGTCATCAAGCTACAGACAGTCTTACAAATGGAACCCCAAATGAGCTCCACTCACAACTTCTACCTAGAACCTCTGGACTGACCCACTGGCCCTTTGACTGGCCTAGAGAGCTCCCCTCTGGAGGATGCTACAACTGCAGGGCTCCTCTTTGCCTCTATCCAGCTGGAAGTAGCTAGAGCGGTCACCACCCAGTTCCCAACAGCAGTTGGGGTGTCCTGTTTAGAGGGGGGATTGAGAGGTGAGGCCAGCTGGACTTCCTGGGTTGAGTGGGGACTTGGGGAACTTTCCTGTCTTACAAGAGAATTGTAAAATGTGCCAATCAGTGCTCTGTAAAACACACCAATCAGCAGGATTCTAAAAGTAGCCAATCATGGGGAGGATTGAAAAAAAGGAACTCTGATAGGACAGAAATGGAACATGGGAGGAGACAATAAGGGAATAAAAGCTGGCCACCCCAGTCAGCAGCGGCAACCTGCTTGCTTCCACGGCAACCTTCCACGCTGTGGAAGCTTTGTCCTTTCGCTCTTCACCATAAACCTTGCCACCACTCACTCTTTGGGTTCGTGCCATCTTTAAGAGCTGTAACACTCACCACGAAGGTCCGTGGCTTCATTTTTGAACTCAGCAAGACTACGAACGCCCCGGCAGGAACCGATTCTGGAGACAATGTTGGCCAGGCTGGTCTCCAACTCCTGACATCAGGCGATCCACCTGCCTTGGCCTCCCAAAATGCTGGGATTACAGGTGTGAGCCACTGTGCCCAGCCTACTTCCCACTTTCAGTGGTGCCTTTCAGTGCCACTAGAAGAGAGGTTCCTGTTACCTCAGTGGACCCTGTGTGGTGAGCAGTCCTTTCCCTGAGGAGCTGGGCAATGGCCAAGGCCTCTCTGAGCTTCCTCACCAGCACCATCAGAAGCCTGTGGGCCCCCCTTGGACCTCCTCACTCCTCATGACCCAGCTGTTCCTTCTGTTGGACACCTGGGCCCTCCCCACCAGCCCATTTGGGCCACCTCACCTGAGACGAACCCTCTGGGTAACCAGTGCATCAAGCCCATCGAGCACAGCTTGGAAGGTCTCCGGGCAAGGCCTCTTCATCAGAGACCCCAGAGGAAGGCGGAGGAAAGGCCAGGCCTGCACCATCAGCTTCAGGGCCTCACAGTGTCTCCCGCTGAAGGCCTCCATGAACAGAGGGGGAAAAAGTTCCGTGGGCAGCTCCTCCAGGGTGGACATGGTCAAGGCCTGGTCCCTCAGCAGGCTCCGCCCCGCCAGCTCCAGGAGTCTGGGTGGAGTCCGGATGCGCATCTTCATGAATCTGCAAGGAAAAGTTCCACAGGACAAGTCCAGAGAAAAGGCATCACTCTTAGGCCAAGCTCCTGCAATCTCATCTTCTCCCAGGGCCAAAGTCACCGCTCTGGCGAGGGTGAAAGAGTCCTCAGTTTACTCCAATTCTACTCTGTACTCATGGCCACAAAGCCAGCATTCTGCTTCTGCTGCATCAGCATGAGCGTCTCCCAAGCAGTGAGGAGGCAGGACCCGCACTAGCCCTTCCTCTCTATCCAGTGCTCCATCCAGTGACTAGTGAGCATGGAGGAACCTGAAAACTAACCCCTCCCACCTTTGGGGGAAATTTCTAATTACTCAAGGTTCTAAAACATTGGGAATGGGAGTGTCACAAGCCTACGTGCCTACATTCCCAGTTCCTACAAATTAGCTGGTTGGGAACATTCACGGGGCATCCCTAGAATGGGTTCCATTTGTTTTCTTTTCATTATTTAAGCTTGCTTTCTTTCTCTTTCTCTCTCTCTTCTTTCCCTCATCCCTCCCTTTCTCCTTTTTTTTCCTTTTTTTTTTTTTGTTCGACAGGGTCTTGCTGTGTCACCCAGGCTGGAGTGCAGTGGTACAATCTCCGCTCAGTGCAGCCTCGACCTCCCAGGCTCAGAGGATTCTTCCACCTCAGTCTCCCAGGCAGCTGGGACCACAGGCATGCATCACCATGCCTAGCTAACCTTTTAGTTTTTGACGTTTTTTAAAGACAATGGGTTTCCCTATGTTGTCCAGGCTGGTCTTGAACTCCTATAGTCAAGCAATCCACCCGCCTTGGCCTGCCAAAGTGCTGGGATTACACACATGAGCCACCGTCCCAGCCTCATTATTGAAAATTTCAGTGGGAAACTTTGAAAGCTATGTGACAGTGTTATGCATCATTCGCAAGACAGAGATGTTTGCATACACACCTCTTACACATATTAAAAATGAACCATTAAAAATGGCTGGGCATGGTGACTTATGCCTGTAATCCCAGCACTCTGAGAGGCCGAGGCGGGCAGATAGATTGAGGTCAGCCTGGCCAACATGGTGAAATCCTGTCTGTACTAAAAATACAAAAAATTAGCTGGGCATGGTGGTACACACCTGTAATCCCAGCTACTCGGGAAGCTGAAGCTGGAGAATAACTTGAACCTGGGAGGTGGATGTTGCAGTGAGCTGAGATCGGGCCACTCCACTGCAGCCTGAGTGACAGAGCAAGACTATGTCTATATATATATATATTACATAGAATGTAATTACATAATGTATATATATATTACATACAATGTTTTAAAACTTTTATTGAAGGGGCCGGGTGTGGTGGCTCACACCTGTAATCCCAGCACTTTAGGAGGCCACAGCGGTTGTATCACCTGAGGTCAGGAGTTGGAGACTAGCCTGGCCAACATGGTGAAACCCCATCTCTACTAAAAAAAATGCCCACAAAAATTAGCTGGGTGTGGTGGCATGCACCTGCCATTGCAGTTACTTGGAAGATTGAGGCACGACAATCGCTTGAACCCAGGAAGCAGAGATTGCGCCACTGCACTCCAGCCTGGTTGACAGGGTGAAACCCTGTCTCAAAAAAAAAACTTTTAGTGAAAAGGAAAACCTAACTTGTAAAATCACAATACCCCAAAGTCTATGAACTATAATTTAAGGGCACACAAAATCACAAAATATGTATTTAAAATGTCAAGAAGTCTGGGTGTGGTGGCTCACACCTGTAATCCCAGCACTTTGGGAGGCTGAGGTGGGTGGATCCCAAGGTCAGGAGTTCAAGACCAGCCTGGAAAACAGTGATATCCCATCTCTACTAAAAAAAAAAAAAAAAAAAAAATTATCCAGGCATGATGGTGGGCGCCTGTAGTCCCAGCTACTTGAGAGGCTGAGTCAGGAGAATTGCTTGAACCAGGGAGTCGGAGGTTGCAGTGAGCCGAGATCACCCCACTGCACTCCAGCCTGGGCAACAGAGTGAGACTCTTTCTCAAACAAACAAATAAACAAAAAACAAAAACACAAAAACTTCTTATCTAAGACTTTTGAAACAGCAAAAACCAAAGCATAAATCAAAATGTTGAGGATAAGGACAAACCTGCATTTAGAGAAAAATTCAAAGCCAAAATTCATTCATCTGATAAAACAGATAGGATAATTCTCTGTGCCATCTTGGGCTGCCTGAAACCATCTGAAGCTGGCTGACTGCAGATCAAATGGGAGTGTCTTTATGGAGGTGGTAACTTACCAGATCTGGACTCATTGTTCAGGGTGCTTGGACTCCTCACAGTATCAAGAAGTAACTCCAGGCCTCAGGTCTCTCCCATAGATCTTTAGAGGATTTTATGGACCTTTCTAATCACATCACCCCTTTGCCAATCAGAAAACACCTTGGCTCGGCACAGTGGCTCACACCTGTAGTGTCAGCAGTTTAGGGGGCTGAGAAGGGTAGATCCCTTGAGGTCAGGAGTTTGAGACCAGCTTGGCCAACATGGCAAAACGCTGTCTCTACTAAAAATACAAAAATTAGCCAGGTGCAGTGGTGTGTGCCTGTAGTCCCAGCTACTAGGGAGACTGAGGCAGGAGGATCACTTGAACCCAGGAGGAAGAGGTTGCAGTGAGCTGAGATTGTACCACTGCAGTCCAGCCCGAGAAATAGGCTAGATTCATCTCAAAAACAAAAACAAAAAAAAAAAGAAAAAGAAAAAAGAAAACTACATTTGATTAGATTTCTTAAGCTCCACCCAGTTAATCCTGATTGGATTTTTGGCTTTCTTCCAGATTAGCTGATGAACTTAAATATTCATCCATCAAAGTGAAAGATTTAGGGATAGGGTGAAAGTGCAGGACTCATTCACTGATTCACTCCACAAACATGGAGCTTTACTAACATGTGTCTTTCATAGTCCTGAGTGTGAGATAGGGAAGGGTTGAATCTCTTCCTGACATTAGACAGAAAGAAAAAACTTGAAAGTATCTTTGTTGAGGATCTGTCAAATTTATATATTTGAGTTAAAAAGTGTACGGGGGGGGTAGTGTATCCATTGGAGGGGGGGGATCGAGGGGATGAGACATCTGGTACATGGTGAACCGTTCTAAAAAAAACTGGGGGGGGGGGGTGTAGTCAGTATTGGGGTGAGGGGAATGGTAACCGGACGGATTGCAGTACGAAACATGATCACTGGAACAGAGATTCAAAAAAAAAAAAAAAAAAAAAAAAAAAAAAAAAAAAAAAGTTGTACAAAGACAGAGATGACATTCCCTAAGAAAACACAATAGAAATCATCATGTATCCAGTGATTACCTGGGTGGTATAATTTAATTTTTTTTTGGTGTGGTGGGGTTGGGGGCTGAGTCTCACTTCCTAGCCCAGGCTGGAGTGCAGTGGTGTCATCTCGGCTCACTGTAACCTCCACCTCCCAGGTTCAAGTGATTGTCATGCTTCATCCTTCCATGTAGCTGGGATTACAGGCATGCACCCCCACGTCTCCATTCGGGTGGAAGAGTTACAATGAGGATGTGATCGGTTTAAAATTAAGGTCAAAGATTATCTGAAGGAAATCAGGCCAAAATTACCATGAAAAACTAGGTAGGGTAATTCAATTACAATGAAAACTAGATAGGAAAAAGAAGGGTGGGAGCTGGGCAGGGTGGGGCTGATTGTTTTAAATGAAATTTGGGGAAGAAACCACGACATGTGAATATGTTGGGGGATCTTGGGGGATCTGTTGGGAATCTTGCAAGAATTGAAAGTCTTGTGTCTAGATTGAGGTTAAAAATTAAAAGGTTAAGTAGCTACAAAAGAGAAGATGTAGAATCTGAAAATTCAACATTATCCTTGAGGGGAGTGAGAGAGGTTCAATGTTTCCAAGAAGTTAAAGGGTGTTTCCTCCCCAAAGACATGGGCTTAGCTCAGCAAAGCAGTTTGAGAAAATTAAAGAATGTGAGGCCAGGCGTGTTGGCTCATGCCTGTAATCCCAACACTTTGGGAGGCCGAGGTGGGTTGATCACTTGAAGCCAGGAGCTGGAGACCAGCCTGGGAAACACAATGAAATCCTGTCTCTACTAGAAATACAAAAATTAACTTGGTGTGGTGGCTTATGCCTCTAATCCCAGCTACTTGAGAGGCTGAAGCATGAGATTCACTTGAACCTGGGAGGCGGGTTGTAGTGAGCCAAGATGGCGCCACTACTCTCTAGCCTGAGTGACAGAGCAAAACTCTGCTTAAAAAAAAAAAAAAAAATTAAATTAAATTAAAGGCAGCACAAGATGACCAATTAAACGCCACTATGGTGGTCACAGCCAAGTATAAAGGACTCCAGAGAAAAAGTCTCTAGTGTCAGGATAATCTGGTCATGGGTGGGCAAAAATTACCACTAGGACATAAGCAAATCTCAAGACAATTTTCATGCAACTCGGAAAGACTTGGTCACTGGTGGAACAATGCGGGCGCAGGCCGCCACCAAGTATAAAAAGAGAATTCTGTACAAGGAACACTTGTCAAAGCAAATCACTTTGCCCAAACTTCACATTCCAACAGAATTTAAGATTTCCTTTGTTCTAGAGATATTATTAAGAAGTGGAATGGGATCCTCAAAATTCTAAGGCATCCCAGACAAAGCTTCTGGGACTCCAACCAGCTATACATTCAAAATTCATGGTTATTCTCATATGCATTTTTAAACTGATGGGAAAATTACACACCCAGGATAATTTATGGCCACTGTGGGAATTATTGGAAATCTTTAAGACTGTTTTTCTTACAAAACCACAATTGTAGGATTAAACAGTCTGAATGGGATGCTAGTATGTAGAGGCCTCTCAACTCTTTCTCCCCTTTTTTGAGGGTTGGGGGGTGGGTTGGGATCTGCCTAGTGATTTCAAGTAGTTGGATTTTTTTTAGCTGTTTGCTTAAGACTTTTTTTTGTGTGGGGGGGAAAGGTCTCACTCTGTTGCCCAGGCTGGAGTATAGCAGTGGTGGGAGGATGGCTCACTGCAGCCTC